CGTAAATCAGCTGTTAAAACAGTTTCAGCAATTTCATTACTACTGGTGTATATAGATACTTTTTTTTAAATATAGAATAAGGGCGACAAACAATCACATAGTCCACCCGATGGTAAGTAGATGCTGTGGCGCATAGACATCTACATCTATTCTCGATTACAAATCAAAATGCAGATGCGTTGCCATCCCTGAGGACTGAGATGGAATACCTCGTTTCAAGTAAAAAGGGTCTCTGGTTCTCTACACTCACCATACGAAACACAGCACCATTATGCTACTATTTTACGCTGGTATTCTCTGAGAGCGCGGTACTTCCCCGGTCGAGCCGACCCATTCGTGCTACAACTATACTACTATTATAACTGCAGCATAGCTCTACCACGTACAAATACTGCCATTAACATATTTTTTATCATGGCTATGATTTAAAGTACTTTAACCTTCAAGTAATGTACCGCACGGGCAAAAATAATTTATTGGGTTCTCTGTCAAGAAATTCTCAATAGCAGCATGTTTCGGAAGGCACGTAAAGTCGTTGGCCTGTGACCGATCTCGCTTAACTTGGATTGCCGTCCCTACGGATTATGACGGTGAGCGGATTATCTGATTGTCATTTCCTTAGAAGCCTTTGAAGGCACCTAATGGTAAAATCAGATGAAGGATTATTTTCGTGCCATCACATTAAAAAATATTGTGCCTAATTTTTATTATACCTAATAATTCAATCCTAGGTCAAGTCCTTTATCTTTAAATAATATCATAAGTAGTAAATGTCTACAAAAAACTAAAAAGAGCATACTTTTAACAGTTTCCTTTCTATTCAGTATTCAAAACACGCACGAAAATGAAATATTTAATAAGAGAAAGCTATCAAAATGAGAAAATGAAATAAAACCAATAAAACTCTCTCCGGAAAGTTTCGGTTCACATTTAAAATGAGGTGCAATTGAAACCCATAGTTAAAACTTTTTCGGGTAAATTTTCGTAATGAATACTTTTTAACTACAAATAGTAAAATTTGCCTGCAGTAAATTAAATTAAATTTTATTAGTTTAATATTACAATCGGAAACTATTAACGGTGAATAATAGTTAATCAGGATTAAAAATATCACTATAAATTTAATTTTAGTAGAATAAGGGTGACATGTGAGTGACACAGACCTACTTTGTCCTACCGCCCACGATGAACGAGAAGCGAGTAGAGCTAGAAACTCGATAAGAGTTGGCGATCCGCGAGAAACGACTGGATAGTTCCGATAGTTTTGTCGCTGGGTTATAAGTAGCGATCGGATAATCGGATGCATATTTACCTAAAATTCATTTTTGGCTAGGAAATTATGAAAGCGGGTAGTTAAAACATATTTATTAAAAATATAAATCCCGGGACTCAAGAAAATACGGGAATGCGAAAATAGTCTGTATCATGGTGAAGAAACGTCGTCTATAGCATGTGGTATTAATTTAAAAAAAACAGAGGGATTACATAATTATTAATGTGAATTTACTTGAAGTTTATTTTAAGCTCCCCATCAATTTATGAGTATGTTGAGTGTAAGAGAAATAGTAGGTAGTGGTTGTTAATTTAAAAAATTAAGAGAAAGTTATTATTTCTAATTATATATATATATATATATATATATATATATATATATATATATATATATATATAAGTTAAAATAAGTAAATATACCTACACTTGATTTGATTCCATAATAAAAACAGTAAATTTGTCGAATCCGAAAACCCGGGATTTTTTCGATACAAAAGTGCATTCCATAATAGCCAACACATACACTTTAGGTAAATATGCATCTGATTATCCGATCACTAGTTATAAGCGAGTGCACTGAGATCCGCACTGTAGAGTAAAATGACCGCCGGTTGGACTCACGGCGTGAGTTCAGACCGCCAAGCGAGTATTGCTGAGCAAGTTTTACTCACATCTTTGATAGCTCTTGTCACTGCGACAAGCTAGTGGAGAGAAAGTTCTCGCCAGTAGTGTGAACAGTCAGCGATCAACTAATAATATATGAGACTTTTTCATCTATATCTACTGTTCGTTTCTCGAGCGTGAAAATTGTTGATAGCTAATCGCCTCTTCGTCGCCGGTGGTACAAATGCTGATGGTAAGTGCATGATGTGGTCAATAGACATTGAAATTTGGTTTAAAATCAAAAAGCAAAAGCGTTGTTACCCTTGAAGACTAAGATGGAATACCTTGTTACTCGTAAAAAGGGTGTCCAGTACTCTACACTTACCATATAAAACATAGCGGCATTATTCTACTGTTTCACGCTGGTATTTCGTGGTCCTTCCCAAATTGAGCACATCTATTTGTGCTATAATCATCATATACGGCTGCAGAATAGCTGTACCACGTCAATAGTTATGAATATCAATTGGGTCCTGATTCCACCAGGCGAACCTACTTACGCCCTTAGCTTCCTCCTGGTAGCTGAGGGGCTAATAAATAATGGGTAAGATGACATTATCTTTTTTATAAGCAAGCTATCTATACAAATAAATAAAATAACAGCTTTTTACTAAATGCATATGAAAGTATATACGCTACTTATAACAAAAAGAAAACATTTTTTTTATTTTTGTGTCTGTTCCGGCTAACCTCCGAAACGGCTGGACCGATAGTGACGGGACTTCACTGGCAGATAGCTGATGTTGTAAGGTGTAACTTAGGCTACTTTCATTTTAGTTATAGAATTAGGGTTCCGCGCAAAACAAATGAAACCCATGAAATTGAATTCCACGCGGGCGAAGTCACGGGGAACAGCTAGTTATTCATATTCTTAGGATAATGTCCTCTTTGTCCTATCGTAATTCCTCCTCAGAAAAACAATTTAAAGTCTTGAAATTATATCTTCCCTCCTTCAAATTTCATGTTGAACAAATACATAGATTTTTCTCTAAACTTCACAGATTTAGGCTTGTGTAACAATTTCCCGAGTTAAAAATATGAAGCGTAACGCCTTCTGCTATTTATAAAGGTTCACGCTTAGATTAAAGAGTTAGGATTTATTCGTTGGGAGTTGCTAAAACAATTGTTTTAAAATTTGGCAAAATAATTAATTACTAATGAACCGCCCCGGATGCGCACGGTCGATTTTTGGATCTCGACAGCTGCGCCACCTACCGGGTCCAATTGTGAAGCTAAACCATCCAGGATGAACCATCCAATAATCTACCCACTTAAACGCACACAAAAAAATTTCTTCAAATTCGTTCGGTGACAAACGAACACACAGTACACCTGATGGTAAGTGGTCGCTGTGACCCATAGACACCTACATTTATCCTCGATTAAGAATCCAAATTCAGATTCGTTGTCACCCGTGAGGACTAAGATGGAATGCCTCGTTTCCAGTAAAAAAAGGTCTCCGGTTATCTACATTACCATACGAAACACAGCAGCATTAAGCCGCTATTTTACGCTGGTGATTCTGCTTCCTCGTCATAACCAGTCTGTAAAATTGGGGTTCAGCGCCATTTAGTCGCCAGAAATTCGTCCGTCAATCAGCACAGTGCACCGCATGCAGGTGAAGTTGGCGTTAGAAGAAAAATGTGACTTAGAGGGAACCTAACACCCATCTTGACTGTCCTCGATTACGAATCAAAATGCAGATGCGTTGTCACCCATAAGGACTAAGATGGTATGCCTCGTTTCCAGTAAAAAGGTTCTCCGGTTCTCTACATTCACCATACGAAAAACAGCAGCATTAAACTACTATTATATACGCTGGTATTATGTGAGGGTGTGGTCCTTCCCCGGTCGAGCCGGCCCATTCGTGCTATAACTATACTACAAACAGAACTGCAGCATGACTCTACCACGTATAACGTTTTCGAGTTTTAGCGCCAGTAACGGACAGCATTTGATTTTTATATATACAGATAGAATACAAGTAATTTTTATTGAAAATCATTTTACTTTAGCATTGATTTAAAAAAAAACCTCTGTCCTGGGAAGAACCAGCAATAAATCCAACGGGACTTTTTTTCCAAAGTTGCAAGCTATATATATAAAGCCCGTAAGTTATACAGCAAAATAAATATTTGCTTAAATGAGATAAAAGTGCTACACTTATTAAATTTTTAACTAATTAAATTACGATGGTAAAGACTGCTCACTCAAAAATTCATTAGTCCGTATTCATTGAAGTTAAAGTAATTAAGTATTCACAATTCACAGAGAACTATTCAGACGCTAATTTTGTAGGTAGTCTCCATTTAGCTAAAATATTCTCAAAAACAAAGTAAAAAAATTTTGACTACTGTCTCCCGCACTAGGATTTTGTCCTGTGTTTTACAAATGCACCACGCATTTGACGGCTCCGCGGCGCAGTGGTTTAACATTAAATAGTTGCGTAATAACGCGACGGCCGCGGGTTCGAATCCCGCAGTGAACAAGTATTTTATGACCTACAAATTGTACCGGATCTGGATGTTGGTTCTTGTGCGATTTATGCTTGTCAGTGGCCTCCACGATACAGGAGAAAATTCTTGTGGTATCCCTTGAAGTGCCAACTTCTTTAGAGTCATATATCGTTATAATTTTAAAATGGATAAAACGAAAAAGCGACACTAAAAAGGGACAAACATATACATCTATAGGATTTAAGCGGCGAGAGAGTGATATAGAAAATACTTACTTTATGATTAAATGATTACTTTACCTTTCTCGTACTCTTTTCATTTAACCTATTATATGATATTTTATATATAACTTTCACTTATTTTTAATTGTATGTATTATTACATTTTTTTTAATTATTATTTTTTATGCCCCCCTCTATTTGTAACTTTTGTTTGCATCATTCCTCTTCGCAAAGGTTGTCTGGAAGAAATCAGTATCAGAGTGATAAGACCGTCTATTGTACATACTTTAATTAGTTTTAACTATATTGATGTTTCTGTATTGTCGTTTACAAAAAAAGAATAAATAAATAAATAAATAGAAAATAGTATAATACAGTGTTTTCAATTATGTATGTAGATGTAACAGTAAGGATTAAGGACGAAATTTGTTGATTAAAAATGTTTAAGTACGATAATGAAATTGAAAACTTGTAGTGTAATATGTAATGAACAAAACAATTTTTAAACTTGGTAACAATATTAATAATACATAAACCCTACAATTATCCTACTCCTGATATTCTGCATTCGTCTCTTTGTCACAATGTTTAATTTTAAGAAGGTTTCACTTCTAACGCGTGTGAACTGCACACGTGTTTTTTTTAAATTATAGGCATTACAATATTTGTTCCTTGTTCAACTTGAAACTGTCTAGAATGAATATAACTACAAAAATAATACACAAAATATGTTCCTGCTAAGTGTCCCAGCTAATACTACTACTACACGACAATAACATAAAAGCGCCTGCCTCCAAAAATTTGGTTACATTAGATACTTATTTTGTTATAACGTGGCTCTTGTAATTTACCTAATGTTGGAGGAAGTGCCGTTGACATTCTTCTTGTCGAATTTAAATTTTAATGTCCCCGTTAAGAAAATTTATAACGCTATTGTTGTGAAAAATATCAATTAAGTGACAGCGTATAAGTAATATTTTACAGCTGTTGCTAAAGACTTACGTAAAAACACGGCAAGCTTCTCAAATATATATAATGATCTATGGACAGATGGACGCAGGTAATGAATGGTTGTGGAAAACTCTGCCGTGCGTGTAATATGCTTAAAAAGTTTTCCTTCATGTATATTAATATATAGATGATTTTGAAAAGCTGTATCAAATGGATAAAAGCATACTGAATTTATATCTTACACTTTTATGAAGTAAAAAGCACTCAAACAAATGCACATAGCTCATAAATTTCTATTTTTGAATCACTTACGTATATTACAGAAAGGAGGTGTGCTCCAAACTATTGCTGCAAACGTTGGACAAACGTAGAAATGTTCATACGGCGAACGTTGGTGGAGTTGGGGCGGTTTCCGGCACTCGATTGTCACGGTCCGGGGGCGAAAGTCGCGTCAACGCCCGCCGAAGGTGCGCGAACTTGTGCCGCGTAAAGTGTAGTGGTTTAAAGCGTATAATTTTAAGGTAAATTTTTTATCATTTTTTGTTTATTTCAATTCAAGATTGGTTTTATTAATTATTCAAAAACCATAACTATTCTAATCAACGTTCATTTAAGGACAGGTTTTTAAAAATTATGAGAATAAGTAAAAGAAAAAAGATAACGTCTCTTAAGTTTTTTATCCAGGAGGAAGATGTTTAAAATTATCTTGGAAAGCATAATGTTTATTTTTTTTCATTCAAGTGTGAGAAACTAGCACACGGACTACCTGTTTGTTATAAAACCGTCTAACCTCGATTATTAATCAAAACGTAGTGGTCACTACTGTGATGAAGTGTTTTCTTAAAGTAAATAGGGTATTCGGTTCACACAATAGTAGAATAATCCTGATGTTATAAAATGTTCTTATGAGTAAATTTTTGCTCTATTTTATAAAAAAAATATGGTTATTTAAAATTTAAAGGCTTACTTTTTTACTAGTTAAATATGCCGACAAAACCTGAAAGGACGATGAGAAAATCGCTAATATTTAGTAAATTAACTAAAACGCAAAACGCTCTATGTAATTTGCCTTATAAATGTTTTGCAGCGTTTTAAAAAACTAAGTGGCTTTAAATTACGAAAATTTAAGAAATTTATGTTTTATCTAAAATAAGACTTTATGCTTAAAATTTTAATTTAATGAAGTTGACTATTATTTATCAAGAATTAGAGACAAAAACTAATATACGTTAAACGTTAAATATAATAAACAGTACACGGATAATAAATAGAAATAAAATATATCTATTAAACGAGAAGTCAAACATTTACTTACGTAAAGGATCTACATGGGACTTCTTGGAAATACACTAACTTTACAACTTCAAAAATAAAAATATAATATTTTTTACATAATAACTCAATCATTTTAACAATTAGTTTGTGCCAGAACGCATTATCTTGTTAATCAGTCCGTAGAAATCCAATTCTGGATTATTTAGGTCTGTGATAAAAAAACCAACCTATTATAGTCTACCTGATGGTAAGTAGAAACTGTAGTCCGCAGGGAGCAACATTTATCTAAGATTGACGATTGAAAATCAATAGGCGTTCTCACCTGTGAGAACTGAGATGCAATGCCACTTTGGCAATGAGGAGTTCTATCTTTAAAAGTTACTTTAGCTTTATTTACTGGTAGGACTCTTTTACTGTCTTTGAGTCCGTGGGTTAATAACACTTTATCACCTATTTCGACCAAAAAATAGGTGCTGCAATATTGATCTCTGGCTTGAAGGTACAGAGGACCAGTAGAATTACAATCGGCACTCCAACTTAGTTTTCAGTGGTGACAGCGCATCTGAAGCCTTCCTTGTTAAAAATTGCAGCTGTGCATAAGTTCATTTGTCACGTGGTTTGAAGAATTTGGTTCTCGTCATTCCCTGTACGAAACATATCAGAATCAATCGTATGCCGCTGGCTGTGCGCGGTCCTTCCCGACTGAGCCGCCCTATTCGTGTTTCGTGTGTAATGTAATACAAATCGTAAGCCGTGACCTTAGTGTGTAAAAGAATTATTTTACTATGTGTACGTATGTATGTATGATATATATATATATATATATATATATATATATATATATATATATATATATATATATCATCATCATCATTACAGCCCTTCACAAATCCACTGCTGAACATAGGCCTCCCCCAAGTAATGCCACAAAGCACGGTCCTGAGCCACCTGCATCCATCGACTTCTTACATATCTTACCAGGTCATCACTCCATCTAGTGGGGGGTCGCCCTACACTACGCCTACCGGTACGAGGCTGCCACTCGAGAACCTTTATTCCCCATCGGTTATCGGTTCTTCGAACTTCGGCCGGCCATATGGCCCATTGCCACTTCAACTTACTAATCCGTTGGGCTATGTCGGTCACTCTGGTTTTATTGCGGATATCCTCATTTCTGAGTCTATCACGCAGAGAAACTCCGAGCATAGCCCTCTCCATAGCTCGCTGAGCGACCTTGAGCGTCCTCATACGGCCAGCAGTGAAGGACCACGTCTCAGATCCGTAAGTCATCACTGGCAACACGCACTGGTTGTACAATCTAGTTTTCAGAGATTAAGGTATACCTGACGAGAAAATGTGTCGTAATTTCCCGAACGCTGCCCAGCCGAGTTGAATCCGTCGATTGACCTCTCGGTCGAAGTTGGACTTACCTAGTCTGACTATTTGTCCCAGGTAAACGTACCTACTCGTCAACAACTTCGAGCATAGTACTTCCAACAACTACCGGCATAGGTGTGACATGGACATTAAACATGATCTTTGTTTTGTCCATGTTCATCTTAAGACCTATCCGTTGGGAGACACCATTGAGGTCATTGAGCATAATGCTTAGGTACTCCAGCGATTCTGCCATAAGGAATATATCGTCGGCAAATCGAAAGTGAGTGATGTACTCGGATGATACTCCTTTCCGTCCAGTCTGAAAACGTCTTCCAATGCAGCGGTGAAGAGTTTCGGGGAAATAACGTCACCCTGTCTTACACCTCTCTGCAGTTGGATAGGTTTCGAGCTCTGGTTCTGTACTCGGATAGCCATCGTAGTCCTACTGTACAAACATTTCAGTACTTCGATATACCGACAGTCAACTTGGCACCGCTGAAGGCACTGTAGCACCGCCCAAATTTCGACGGAATCAAAGGCTTACTCATAGTCAACATACGCCAGGCAAAGACAAATATATATATATATATATATATATATATATATATATATATATCTCTTTTAGCAATAACGACATTTTAAGATTTTAAGATTCTCCCCTTATAGCGACGGTATAAGAATATCCTCATATCATCTCGTGGGTGTTGTAAGAGGTGAAACAAGAAAAGAAATTAGGAGATGAGCAACACTGTCTTCCTAATAATGACTAAAAATAAAAAATCGCGATAGCCAACCCGCTTGCCAAGCGTGGCAACTATTGAAAAATATTTCCCCTATGAGGCAATATCGGGGAGGCCTATGTTCAGCAGCCACAATAAGCTGTAACGAGATAAAAAGATAAAAGAGTGTAAAATAAATATAAACAAATAAATTTCACTTATTATTAGCTTAATTGTTTAAGATAACAAATGGATAATTTTTTATAAATTACATACAACATAACTATTTTGGTTAAATCTAAAGAAGCGAATTGGAAAACTAAACTTTGTGTTAAAATAATAGGACCCGCCGTCGTGTAGTGATGGCGTTAATTACTACCATGTATCCTCACGTGGGTGTCCGTAAGAGACGACAGAGGGAAGTGAAAAAGATGGGCCGCAGCATCTTTCGAGTAACAACTCAAAATAATAAATGCAGTTGCCAACTATGGCTACCATGGCCATCTATGGGGTGACCATATATTCAGCAGTGGACTTTTAATAGGCTATAGTGAATGAAAAAAACATAGGACCCACGAGTAAATGATTAACAACACCGTGAAACATGTTCCTCCAAACCGAGTATCGTAATATCAACAACATTACATAAGGGAACAGATTCGCTTTCCAGATAAAGCAATCTCAACTTAATTAATTTTACCAAAACTTTCTAATTAGATTTTCAAATTAACTTCCTAACAATTTTGAGTGAATAAACATGACTGTAGTATAATCTGTCTTGTTACAGATGTGTTTGGTCAACAGACGGCTTAAGTCGAAACATAGCTGATATATTCGACTGAAAATTAGCACTGACTGGATAGAAAAGTGAAAAGATATATAGTGAAATAAAAAATTACAAAAGAAAAATAAATAGGACGCGGCAGTCGCACCGGCGGCGCCGCGCGGTTCGGTGGTGGCTTGCTGGCGCCAGTGGTGGCTGGTGGCGGGCGTGGGTGCAGTCAGCGCACAGCGCAGCCCGCTCGGCTGGGCTATGGGCAGCTCGCAGCGGCTTGCCGCGGTCGCGGCCGTCTCCCACGCGAGGCACTACTACAACCACACTCAGCCAAATGTCGCGCAGACGGAGGCAGCGCATTATAATGTCAATGTATTTTTTGTAAGGTTCGTTCAATGATAAAGGTGTATTAGATATAAGAACTTTTTTACATACGTCAAACGAACTCACAGTCTACCTGACAGTAAGTGACCATTGCTGTCCGTGGACACCTGCAGCCAGCTTCGAACAGCGAAGGTTACAGACGCGTTGTCACCTCTCAGGATTGAGATGGGATACCTCACACTCTGTAATTATACTGGCTCCCATACCCTTACCGGTGCTAGCACTGATATTTGACGGCAGAATAGGCAGACAGACTCTTTGGCAGAAGACAAGTTCTACCACCTTACGTTGGCTAACTTATTTTCGCTAAAATGCCTTCTGAAGAATGTTATTTTGATTTAATTTTATTTGTAGTATTTATTCCGTTTTATGAATTTGTATTTTACACAATATATAACTTATTCAATCAGGAAACGTATACTATAAAATATGGCGTATGTATCTTGTTAGCCAAATAAAAATGTCGTCCTCAAACTTTATGAAAGGGCGTAATATTTTCGTTGCGGAAAGCTCAGGGTCCATGAAAACGACTGGACATGCACGCTGTCAGTTTATAGTGTAATAAATGTTTCAATGGGACTCTAGCTCTCCGTCAGTTTATTGCTTATACGAGAAGATTACTCGTTTCTGGCAATGGATTAATGTTTACCTAATTGTCTGACTCGTAAACGAAACAACGGAATGATTCTTTTATTGAAGTAAGGAAAACAAAGCGAGCACAGTCCACCTGTTCCCAGACAATTACATCTATTCTCGGTTATAAATCTAAATACAAATGTACATATGTATGACACCTCAGACGGCCAGGATGGAATGTTGGTCTGATGGACGAAAAATCCCATAAGATGATCTTTTTATAAATTAAATTCACGTAAAAACTGTTGCACTAATAAACTTTAAAATGATTTTAATATTAAACCCTTTTCCTATGTTTTGAAGTACATATTATGCAAATGCATTACAGAAACTGGTGGTCTGGGAGAACTCATCGCGATAATTTAAAAAAAACCTAGCTATTTAAAGATCATCATTTACCAGAATTATATTTTGTGTATAAAAATTAATTACGTAAGATGCTGTTAAAAGGTTAAAAATATGAAGAGCCTCTCCTCTTGTAAGGGTCAATGCGAGTGAATGTTCTTTGGAAATTATTAAGTCTTTTAATGGAGGTAAACTTTAGCTGTGTTAAAACGTTTTGTCAAATATTAAAATAGAGGTTAGGTGGTGAGATTTCTCAAATTTAATACTTTTATTTTTCTTTCATTAAAAACAAAACAGAATTTCATTAGAATAAAACCTTCCCTTTTATTTTTGAGATATTTGATTTTTCTTTACTAAACTGTTCTCGTCTGTTAATCTAATCCCGGACTAATGTCTTTTAAGTTGCTGCGACTGGCATGAACCCACGAAAGATTCGTGCAGCACAGAGTCAATATACTTGCACTGGTACTGTTGTATTCCGTCACCAGTGCCCTGTACACATTCTAATGCTTTTCAAAAGCGTTTGAAAGTACAGCCCACTCCGACACAAACAGAGCAGGTTTTCGAAGCCGGGCAGCTTCATGAAGATATTAAAGTAAGATTTTCGGTATAAGAAGTGGCATTTGTTATTAGAAAAATGGCAAGGGTGAAGTCCCCTGGACATGAGCCTAAGCATCGAACATATTTTTTGACTTATCGTATTTGAGTTCGGCATTCTCGCATGGACATGAGCTTAGGTTGTATATAATCAGATGCTAGAGTATTTGGAGAAGTTCTTAAATTCAACTTTACCTAAATATTAATACGTGAAGAGAAAATTTGTAAACCTTTTAAAGCATATTTCGCGCCTGGAGGAGTGTGATTTTTGGCATAGGTAAAGTTTATATGGCAAAAGCGTGCAGAAAGCTAAAATTTATATATAATATGCGTTAGAATAAAAATAAAATAAAACAAAACATTCATTGTTTACGTGCATACTCCGAATGTTAACAGTCAAACACATCGGTCAAACAGTCGCTCAAAAGAGTTTGTCGCCAAAGAAATATAAAATGTTACCAGCAAAATACCTAATTACTGAAAGTGTGACTGAATAAGCTGTGAATTTTGTGTGATTTCAAATTTCATTCGCGTCGCAAAGAGTTTATTTTATAGATATCATGTATATTTGATATCTGATAGAAATCTGTGTTTTATTTGTAAAAATGCAGTCAAAAGCACATATAATAAAATAAATAAATATTTTAAGAGCTGAAAGTGAAATACAGTTTGACTTATACATAAACTTAAAAAATTCATGAATTACGGTCGAATTCCGACCACAGAACGAACACTAGTTTTAAAAAAAAAGCGTTATCGGTGTTTTACATGACATATAATACGTTGTACACACGTTCAGTGGCGGTCCTAGGGCGGTGAGAGCGGTGCGACCACACCGCGCCATCATGGGGGGGGGGGGTGAAAACCGAAACGCTACCACCGGGCACCAGTCACCAATTCACTTACTCTTATATCACTAACATTCCGTTTTGTTGAAGCTAATTAGGTAGTCAAAGCACGAGTATTTTGTTGCTTACAAGCCAGTAAGTGACTCTTCGGGAAAAGGACTTACTGGCCTCTTTCTTGATGCAATTACACAAGCGTTTGACTTAGACATAAATGATTGTCGAGTTCAGGAGTACAATAATGGTGCGAACATGGCAGAAAAATTAAAGGTGTTCAAACCAGAATTTGACTTAATATTCTCGGGGCTCAATATTCATTTTTGAATCCATATGGTTGTAATTATTACAACTTAATTTGCTCATATTCGCGTAATAAAATAAAACGATGTGTCCTACCCAGTATGAAGAGCAGCTAAAAACCACCCTCAATTGCATGCACTATCCCCCTATACCCACCACTCCCAGTACCACCACCCACAACACCACCACACTAGGGACGACACACCACTCTCGATAATACGATACGTGTTTCGCCTCTACACGAGGCATCCACAGGTGAAGTAGTTTCTGCGGTGGCTGAAGGCTAAGTGAGCGGCGAGCCGATATAGTTGCTATTTATACAACTCGTTGATCAACGAGTTGATCACGAGGGTGGCTTTATTTCTTGGAGGAGTCTATGTTTAGCAGTGGATTTGTGATTATAACAACAATGATGATGAATATGATGATTTAAGCATAACATAAGCAAGTGGTAAAATTAAAAATTTTGTACAACCGACTTCAATATAAATAAAATGAGAACACCATTAATGTAGGTAGTCGATCAATTAAATACGCATTATTAAAGATAAATTAAAAGCTACCAATCAGACCTTGATCAAATGAGAAGCACCAGCTTTCAAATAAAAAAAAGAATCAAAATCGATTTACCTAGAAAAAAAGTTCTGAGGCTTTGACATTGAAAAATTACACATTGAAAAAATACAGTCGAATTGAGAACTTCCTCCTTTTTTTGAAATCGGTTGAAAATTGAACTATCAAGATTAAATTAATACTAAATCTAGGCAGAAGTTGTTTTCCGTCAGCGGTTATTTCAACAGTCAGAAAAGTTCCAGTATTATAATTGAACATATTCTAACTATCTTATGAATTAAGATAAAGGATAGCTAAGCTAGATGAAGTTTTCGGTAATAGAGAACAGTTATATTACAAGATCCTTAGATAAAACATGGCAAAAATAACAGTAACGTTTTTTCGTGATCCTAAGATTACATAAGCTTTAAAGGGATCGCGATCTATGATGTCTTTAAAACTTAGAAAAAAATATATTTATATATTCATTAAAATTATTAACTCAAATATATATAGTTTAAATATTGAATTCAATCTGATGATATCAACACATAGAACTTTTTGAGAAATTATGATAATCACGACCATTGACGTTACTTCAACAACACCCCCAAGGGAAGGACCGCGGCCCTCTTTTTAAAAAAAAAAGTTAATTTGTGACCGCGACTTCAAACATCGCGTAGTTCAGACGCTGCTTTAGATTCAAGTGCCAAGTGTGACGATTATAGCAAAATCTCTGTGCCTGAGAGATTCATGACAGTGAGCTCATAACAAGTTACTGATATACATAACTTCACTTATCCATTTCGCTTATTCAATGAGCTTATTATATTCCGTAAGTAAACATTTTTTGTCACGAATAAATGCATGAATATTTATAGCAATTAATATTTTAGTAATTCAGTCTCAAGAAACAATATTACAATATTTTTTAACTTATAACTACGTCTACCTTTAGAAGTTGCTTTGGAAACAAGTGACTGATAATGACAAACAAAACCCCACATGATTTCACCTCAAACACACGTAGGTATTACATACGAGTAAGTTTACACTCTTAGGTATCAGAATGCGTGTATATTCAGTCTGTTAAAGGAAGCAGGGACATCGTAAAGGTGTTACATCTACGAAATGAAAGTGCCGGGAGGGTAACTTAGGGAGTTCGCTGCAATATTTTATTATTAGAGTAAATAAAAGGAAGAGTAAAGACAAAATAAACCTTTTATTACTTGGTTTTCAAGTATATTAGACAGCGTTATATTTTTGTTAGATTTTGACATTAATATTACGTTTTTCATAAAGTTATATAATTATACATTAATAAAAATATACTACAGTAGGCCTCCTGAATTTACAAAATTTACCCATATTTATTTATAAAATATATGCAAAACTTTCTTTTGTATACGGCGTTAGATATCAGGTTACCTGAGTCACGGAGTTCGAGACAAGATACATTATATTTGTTTTCGTAAGACTCATCCGATTTGACGGAGGTTGGGAAAATATATTCTTTGCAGTTCGTTTACGTCTAGTGCGTTTGTTTAAATGGAACATATTGCCGAGGATCGCAACCGATCACTAACACGTATTTTTAGTGAAATATATTAAATAAAACAAATTCATTGAGCCGTGACAGCTCACCTCATCTCAAATGCCACTTATTTCGTAAAAATTGAGATCAGAAAAATATGTACGCGAGAAACGTACAAATTAATTTTAATTTT